TGGCCGCATTGCTTGGCTACCTGAAATGCACACTCTTTGAACCTCCTTTTTGCGGACTGCACAGAATGGTGTGCGGTCGCACTAGTCCTGTTATACTGAGCTTGGCCTTGTTCTTGGTACTTGTGCATGTTTCACTCCTTTTGAGCTAGTTTTGACAAATTGTCACCTTATTGACCAAACCCTGCAATCAAGTACAACATGTGAGCCTTCGGGACTATTTTGTACACATTTCTAATCAAAACTTAAGCAAGAAGGAGTGTAAAATGCATCATAATCCCTAGTTATTAGTACATCAGCCAGGATCCCAAGAAATGGTCCAATTGGGTGAGTATGGCGTCAGATTTCATGGACCGGTTCAGGTTTAATACAGAGAATACACCAGATGTTTTCCATAATCTTAAGAAGAAACCCACCGAAACCTTCTACGAGTATTCTACTCATTGGAGGTCGAAAGCAGCCAAGGTTAGGCAATCTTTGGACGAGGAACAGATGAACAAGTTCTTCGTCAAAGCATAGGATCCGCAGTATTATGAAAGATTGATGGTTATTAAAAACCATAAGTTCTCTGATATCATCAACCTTGGGGAAAGAATTGAGGAAGACATCAAAAGCGGGATGATAACAAATTTTGAGGCATTACAGGCCACAAATAAAACATTGCAATCAGGAGGCATATAAAAAAAGAGATGTTGGGGGGCAGTAATGGTAGCTCAAGGGACAAATGTCTGGAACTGGGCTTCACGACACTGGTTCCAGACATTTGTCCCTACGGTGAACCCGGAGCCTGAGGTTACTATTGACGATGGGAAGTTGGCTCGCAAATATAGTGAGATATACAATAATATTCGGGCTTTGGGTTTCGACAGTCTGTTTCGCCCAGGTGATGCGGTGAACGTGAACTTGGTCAAGGAATTCTATGCTAACTGGCAACCTGAGGCCAGCCTGGATGCTGTGTACGAAGTGCGTGTACGGGGTAAAGTGATTACATTCTCCTCCCAAGTGATCAATCGGATTATGGGCTTCACAGAGCATTCCCACAAGCTCTTTCAGAGGTTTCTACGTCGGGCGACTATCCGGTTATCTGCCGATAGCTATGTGGCGCTGACTCTTCTGCCGCATGGACACGAAATGCGAATAAATTCCACAAGGACATGAATAAGGGAACATTTCAGCGTCCAGTTAGGATTGTTTTGCGATTAATTAATGCCAGAATCATGCCCACTCAAAGTGACACTGATGTCCCACGGCTGATAGTGTGTTTGATCTATGCCTTGTTGACATGGATATGGTTAGATCTTGGAAAAATCATCCTGGAGCACATGGCTAAAGTGCAACCACTTGGGGCTCGCCGTCTACATTACCCGAGTATGATCACTCGGTTATTACGAGCGCACCATGTAGAGGAGGAGTTTCACTATGACCGGACCATCCCAGTGTCTTATCCAATCAAGGCCTATGATGTCATGTTAGTGATAGACCCCCTTGCTACTGCTATTAATTCGGACCAGAGGTTGGTCCACGTTGAGGAGACGCTACAGTTGCTGACTTGCACCTTCATTCTGCTCGGGGGGAGACCGACTTGGAGGAGTTGCAACAAGATCACCCCCTTTCTGCTATCACTCAATAGTGGTTGAGATTGGCGAGAGGAGGACAGCTTCCACCAGATGAGGACGTGAACTCCATTCCCTCTGATGATGAGGAGTATTTGCGCACCTTCAAGGGTGCTGATGATTAGGCCATGGGCCTCAGGGAGTCACCTTTTCACTCTTGATTTTACTGTTTTGCATTGGGGACAATGCAATCTCTTAAGTGTGGGGTGCTCCTATTTGATTGTATTTGTACTCTTTTTTTATTTGCCAATTGGTCTTGTTTGATTTGTATCTTGCTTTCGTAGACAATATGGTCTGTAAACTATAATTCTCAATTATATCGGCATGTAATAGTTAGTAATTAAGTATTTAGTTCGACTCTTCCCGACGACGGATTTTATCGACTGGTTTCTTGAGGGAGATGAGTCGAAAGAAATGAAAAAAACAAATGTGTGAAAATTCTTTAAGTGTTTAATTCGACTCTTTCCGACGATGGATTTCGTCGACTGGTTTCTTGAGGGAGATGAGTTGAAAGAAATGATAAAAAAACAAATATGTGAGAATCCAAAAATTTCTTTTATTTTAGTATTTTTTTAGGTAGTGTAGCAATTCCCCCTTGGTTTTTCCTTGTGTCGTGGTTCTTTTTCAAGGGTTTTGCTTGAACCAAGTGTAGTTAAAAAAATTTATTTTATAGGAATAAAGAATCTTTAGTCAGGAAACTAATTTAAAGGATCAATTTTTCTTTGATTGCATATGCCTTGAGAGTGGTAAGTGCCTTAGTTGTGACACGTAGGCTCAATTCTTGACTCTTAAATAAGTGCCTTAAATTGTGTGATTATAACTGTGCTTAACTGCTTTGACTAGAGTGTCTTGTGAGCCCAATCCTGAGTGAGTTATGTGCCATGTGGGTGTGAGGTTCGTGTGTTATTCTGTGCATTGCATTTAATGTCTAGAACTTGCCTCGTGTGTTTGCAAAGTGAAATAGTAGTTTTGTTCAGTCTTGGAAGTGATATAGGCGTTTCTTTGTTGAGCCAGATATATATATATATATTAACCGTCTAATTGTTATGTATCGTAGTTAACCCCTTTGAGCCTATAATCCTGTTTCTTTGGCAACCACATTACAAGCCCTACCCAATTGTTTGAATTGACCATATATTTGAACCTTTTCACTTCTCATGAGCACTTGAATTGTAATGAACTTTGTAAAAGTTAAAGTGTGGGGTGGTTGGTTTGGCTTTTGAGTGGAGCTAATGAAATAAGGAGAAAGGTGCAGTGTTTTGGAAAATTAAGAGCCACTTGAATTGAAAAAGAAAAGGAAAAAATAGTTGTATTGTTGTAAGAAATATTCCTTGATAAGTGGTGGCTCTTGATGTAATTGTGCTTAAAAAAAGTATGGAGTTAATATATATTGAAGTGAAGGTGGAGTTATGGTTTGACATGAGTATGTGTTTGAATGTTAAAGTATATGTATTAAAGTGCTTAGGGAGGTGTAGTCACTCTTATATCTAAATACCCTAACCGTCCCGCCGCCTACATTACAACCAATTAAAGTCCTACTTGATCCTAGACTGAATGCGCTCGATTAGTAGAGTAGTACACTAAGGGCAAGCCTATGGTGCATCTTTTGTGGCATATTAATATTATTTTTGAGAGTGAGTGAATTCTTTCTATCTTGAGTTCCTAAGTGTTCTTAAATTTTATTTTGTGGAACTACTCTCTTTTGTTGTGTGAGGGCACTTGATTTATGAAGGAAAGGTAATGTCATTGACCTCTATGTTGGAGTAAGTGGGTGAGTTATGAATAATGCGTGGTACTTTTGAGTCGAGTCTTGAGGGTGGGATGTTATGATATGGTGCTCAGTCTACTTTAATTATTTTTGGCATGGTGTGTTAGGGAGGTTGTTTGATGGAAAGGTCATCCCTAGGTGAAGTGTAGTTTAATTGCTCAAGGACGAGCAATGGTCTAATGTGGGGTGTTGATGTTAGGCTAGAAACCCGTATTTTAGCCATAGTATTGCACTCTAATTACTGTATTTTTACGTGTGTTTGGGCTTAAATGATAGTGAATTATATTTAGTACGTGTTTTATGCCTTGCAGGAAGTGATCCCGAGTTCAAAAGTTAATTTGGAGCTAAATGGATCAATTTGGAGTTTTGAAGTCTGAGTAAAAGCCCAATACATTAAGCCGGGATCGTGTTCGGAGGTCGTGTACCACGTCTGAATGTTAGAAGAGGATGAAAAAATTTAACTCTGAGAAAATTACACTGCCACGCTGCATGGGGCGGCGCAGTAGTGTAAAAACTGGCCTGACAAGAGAACTTGATGCACGCTGATAAACTACACCAGCGCGCTGCGCCTGTACAAATTTTACAGGGACAGAGTCCTATTTCGCCCAGGAAAAGGTGTTTCGTCTGGGCCCGACTCTACTTGGTGTAAATACATGTAAAAATGCTATTTTGAGGACTTTTGACACATTTTAGATCTAGGGAGGCTATTTTGGAAGGGAGAAGACGTTTGGAACAATTTTCGGAGGAGAGAATCATCGAGTTCTTTATTCCTTCATCTTTTCTTTGTAATTTGTTTATGCAAAATACTTGGGAAATTATTACTACGAATATGAGTAACTAAACTTCTAATCTCGGGTTTGATGGAACCTATTGAAGGATGATTTTTTTCATTGCGTTTAATATAAATTCTCCATTTACTTTTCTCTACTTGTTCAACTATATTATTACTGTTGGTGGTTGAAGGGCCCTCAATTGACTGTGCCTATTTTAGTGTGTACTGTTCGAGAGAGAGTATGCATTTAGGTAGTTGTTGAACGACAGCACTCCAAACGTATTTGGGAGATCAATACGGAGGGTTTAAAGGCGGGATTAGAGATAACGAAATCTTGGTGCGATCATAGTGAGCAGTAAATTAATGTCAGCTAGCGTAGTTTGAGAGAATATGTCTAGTAAATTGTGGTAGTTGCTCGAGAGAGAGCTACGACACTCACAGTACTCATGATCGGTAGAGGATACTTGGGCGAAATTATAGAAAACGTAGCGGGGAGAATTCCGACAATAGGGAAATCAAAACTCTAGACCTTTCCAATCTTGTCTACAATATTTGCTATGTTAGTATTAAAATTATAGCTTTCTAATTACCTTGCTTTTAGTTAGTAAACAATCAACTCATTATTCTATATTTCTGAAGGTTGATTACTTGGATTCTTGTGAAACTAGTGACTGTGATTAATAGGTTAATTCCCTATGAACTTGTAAATCGGATTATATTTGCAATGACCGCTAGATCTCTTAGGAGGCATAGTTGGGCGTGATCAAATTTTGGCGCCATTGCCGGGGAAGCGGCCTGAGTGTACCCTTTAAAACGGTTCAACAAGAAGGGGTGAGAAATTTCTTGATCAATGCCACTTAGGCCTAAGCTGTGCCTTCAAGCTGACAAAGAACCTCTTCAGCTTACAGGCATGTTTCGAGGAGGCTTCGCAACCTTACTGAGAGAATCTGTGGGTAATGCTGCCTTCTTTAGTACTTACGAATATGTGCGATATTGCATGCATCTACAATTAAAAGGTGCATCATCTGGATCTGAGTCGAGCCAATTGATTGATGTTGGAGTTGGGATAATGAGTGGTGGTCTTGGTGGTATAGCAGTGAGTATTATTGGTTGGAGTTGATTCCTTACAACTTCTGCTTATTCTTTGATTAACATACTGGTTGTACTTTCAACGTGGAAGTACCATATGTAATTACATTCGTGCTTCTTATCTTTCTTCAGTTCTGGTCTGCTTTTCTTCCATTGAATGTAGCAAAGACGATAATTCAAACTACCCCCGAGAAAAACCATCCAAGAATCTTAACTTATCAGAAAGAAAAAGAACAGTTATATCTCACTTATAAAAAGAAGGAATACAGAACAGACCAGTCTTACACAATTTCAGTTGTGAAAGATGGCCTTACTAATATGTAATTCTCCTAATTATCATGCTGCATAAATTGGATTTGGAGTATTATGCATATTCTGTGGCTGTTACAATCTGTAATTCAGACTAGCATTTAGGGACTTTCGTCTGCAAGGAAAAGATATGATATGTGGAGCTTGATGCATTTTGCCTCTAATAATGATCTTCCTCTGCATAAATATCATAAGAAATGATCGGATTTCTGATACTAAAAGAGTTAATTCCGTTGCTCAAGATTTTGAAGTCTGACTGTGGATATCCAGATAATACGTGCCTCAATTTAAATATTAGACAATCTTGCCCGAGTGAGAAGCAGCCAAAGAAGAGAAGTTAATATTTAATACTTGGAGAGAAAGTTAACCTTCCTCTGTTTAGGCATTGGAAACCAAGACTACACGACTCTGCAGTAATTCTCTTTTTTGATAAGGTAAAATTGTATTAATCAAAAGGGAGAGCAGTAATTCTCTTATGTAGGGCAATTTGTTTTTGCACTTGAAGAACTTGGTTCTTGTGAGCTTTCAGCATGTTTTGGGCACCTTGAATTCAGGTATATCATTACGTAGATGTTAGGATAGCTTGTGATACAAAGTCTATGCAGGTGTGCTATTTCAACACATTGTTTTCTTGGGCCTTGCACAAGCCATTTTAAGGGCTAAATATCACCAAAGAGAAGAACTCCAAACAATATCAGCAAGTTTTGAAGATATCTGGTACATGGCTTGTCCTATAATTTTCTCTGTTTTTCCGTTGATGGCCAATTTGAAGTTAGTTTGTTAATGCTTAAGAATAAATCATGATCACTTGATATTTGTGTTCATATTCTTTAAAGTTCCATTCACCTTCGTTTGGTAGGTTAGTGGTCTCATTTATATTCGACGATGTACGTTAAATTAAAAATGGTAAAGCATTATACATTTAGCTTATAATCCGTTGTATTGTACATTGACCTCAACCAAACATACCTTTTGCCAACTATAATATACCTGAGTTCAGTCAAAAGCTAAAAGATGCCTCAATTTAACAGGGCATGTATAGCTATTTATCTCGTAGAATTTATGCGTATGACGTTCATTCAGAGCTTTCTGTTGCATAAGGCAGGAAGCATCTCAAGACATAGAATCTAACTTATGGAAGTACAGTGCCCCAAGGGCTTTGTCTAGTGGTAAGAGGCGCAACTCTGATGTGTGGGTTAGGCACACATCACAGGTTTGAACTCAGTTGTAGATAATAGTGGAGAAAGGTAGAGGGGCAGACCCATTATCCACCAAGCTTTGAATCATGCACTACTTGCCCGCGGAGATTATCGGTGGAAAAAATTATGGAAGTACAGGAATTATAACTACAAGAAATAAATAAAATATAGAAACACCGTAAAGCGAGACAGAATATCAACATGGAAGACTTTGATGCACCATGTTATATAGGCTATAAATATTTCATTTCGAGAATACTGGCAGACAATTCAGCGACTTATTCTTTTCCTCCTTCCCTATTCATAAGGAAAAGGAAGAATTACTAGCTAGATAGTTGAAGGTGACAAGTAACAATTTGTTTAGAAACCAGAAATTGACAGAAGATAGAGAGCATGTGACAGCTTGAACTTTAGAAGGATTCGCTGTGCATCAGTCCACAAGTAGGCGATTCCCTCCCATTTGCTGATGCTGCTTCAGCTTGAACTTTCTCCATGAGAATCATATGAAGTTTTACGGCGGCGCTCATTATGACCTGCCAAACGCCTCCGGCAACTCCTTTTTGCTTCATCAAACTCTGGCAACTGATGAAATCTGGACCTCATCACACGAACAAATGAAAATTCACATTAAAAGCTCTGCTTTGTCCATACTCATTAGAAAATGATATACTCCTAGACTTGGGAATTGGAAAGCAGCTGATTAGAAAATAAATGAGATGGCTGCGGCTGCAGCTAGAGTTTCTTGTCCGATTAGATACACTACAGATATTCATAGGAAGTATGTATTTTTTTTAAGAATACCTCGTCTGCTGGATGACTTTGAAATAAAAAATTGTCAGAAGGATAATCTCTGATTGTAATAGTGAGTTATTTTTTCCCCTTGCCAGTGTCTCTGTCTTTCAAAGGAAACAAAAGAATCTTTTCTACACCAATTTCAGTTGGAATAAACCTTATGCCCTACTGCCTAAAGAAGGGGGAAGCAAGAGGTCCGATCTCAGACCACAGGAATTGACTGTTCTCCAGGGTAGTTTTATTGATTCACATTTTGTCATTCAATTTGAAGAAGCACTTAGGACAGCGAAATTCACCCAAAGAAGAAGTCATCATCATTGCTTGATTTGGCTTTGGTTCCACATCAAGGGAATCTATAGGCTGTCGGTTGTCTCTTAACTTAGAAGCAACCAATGCCTTACACATTGCAGAGTTATAATCTAAGAATGCCAACGAATTTATCTGGAAGAGCGACTAATGTCCTAGATTCACTGCTACATCAATTATTTAAAAGACTGGGTTTTGCTTTTTCACCGCAGTCTAATAGTTAAATGAATGCTGTGCCTGTAGCATATTGTAAATGGATTATTGGCCTTGCGCTTTTGTCTCTATGTATTAGTTCTAGCTTAAGTTATTGGTATTTGTTCTTGATATATGAGGATTCCAATATGTTGCATCAAATGAATCAGCACTCAAGCTAAATTATATTCTTCTTTGTTTATTGGCAACTATATGTGTCTGTTAGTGTTCCTCGCAACTGTCATCTAAGAAAGAAGTTTTGGGTGCACATAACTGCTTTTGAGATAGTACCACTATACAGCTTGACAGGCACAGATAAAATTTGAGATTTTCAGTCAGGGTTACTTACCTGCTACATTGCTGACAGAAGCGCTGCTGGATTCCACTAATAAGTACTACCGGAGCCTTTGAATGAAACTCGCACACCTTGTGGCGGCGATGATATGGCTTGGCACCTGCCATATCTGCAGTGCACTGCTCAACCTGGCAAGAAGGCAGTGCTGGCCCACCACCAGATAGATTCCTTCCAGAGAGAGTCAATACCCTCTTCCTTTTGTTATCCTCTTCAGCATTTTCATGTTCCTCTTCTGCTTCATTCATGCTTCTCTTCCCTTCCCATTTGTTATCTTCCATCTCTCTAAGGAGAAACTAGTTGGACCAAAGTAGAATGAGGAAGCCAGATGAAAGAGTGTGAAATTGAAACCAAGGTAAAAAAAGAAAGGAAAGTATGTGTGAGGACCACCAGCTCCATAATTTTCCTCCTATGTGAAGTCTAGTAAGTGGAGATGATTTGGTGCAAGTATGAGCTAAAATAGCAAGTCTGATAGGTGTTTCGTACAGAAGGGGGGGCCAGAAAGGTGTGTGGGTGGGAGTTGGGTGGGGTGAATTATATTGAAAGTTGAAACTACTCTTACTGGTCCCAACTTTCCACACATCAACCTTTAACATGATCTAGCTTTAATGTTAAAAGAAACGTGACCTTACATAACATAGTACAGGAGATGTGAGAGCATTTATGATTACTTTGCTAGCATTTGTTTCCTGATATTCCATGGATTTCACTCCTAATTTAGTTTCTCCACTAACTTTTTATTAAGGTTTTTAATTGGGCAGTCAACAAGCTATTCAGCAATCAGTCATCCACTGTTTGAGGATGTGGAGACGCTGATGAAACATCCAATTTGGTGCTTGGTGGTTACCAAAAGTTATTTTGGCATTTACTCTAGGAGTTGTGACAACCATATACGGATCAAAGCCAGCGGTTTGCAGTGGGCACACGCACGCACACACACACTCCATTTCAGTCTTCTGTTACGTGGATCCTTCATTTACCTTGATGTAGCCATGTCGAATGGGTGTGATAAGGGTATGGGTACACCAAAAACTAGTAAAAAGCTTAACTTACTCATACCAGATACTTGCACATATCAGTACCCAATACGTACCCATAGACGAAAGTTGAACATAGCTTAAAACTTTTTTGGTTCAGTTAAAGGGAAAGGAAAGTTAAAGTGTGTCACCCTCTATTCATTTACCTCCTCTAGCATAATTACCTTTTTGTTGTGTGATAAAATGTAGAAAGTATAGATAGAGACAATCACTTCTTTCCCTCAAACTTAGAGGGAATCAAAAAAGTTGGTGTTGGATGGTGGCAAATTACTCTTTTTGCCCTTCCTATTTTCTGGCAGACCAAAGAGAGTTAGGGAGATCCCCATCCCCTCCCCTCCCCTCCCCTAACCTCCCCAATCCCTTCTTCCAACCTGGGCTTCATGAACTATGTTACATGTGCTCATTTAGCGTATGTAATAGTATTTGGTTGCGTTGTATTTTTTTGAATGAAATACCTATACCCATGTGACATAGTTTATGAACAGTTTAATTGTTTTAGCAGTTTCGGAGGGAGCCTACTCAGCTATTATTTGAACTATCATCATAGTGCAAGTTGGTATCTCAGTGTCACTGTCGGCCCAGTAGAGTGATTGTTGCATTTCTTGAGTGCTCAATTGTTGCACAGGCGGCGGTACCATTATCACTAGATCTCTTAATTCATCTACCTAAAGCTATCATTGTCTTGCATACTTTCATTACTCTAAATTAATTAACAAATGTGGGCAGTATCCCTATTTGGTAGTCTTTTTTCAAGGAAGGACGAATCCTATATTTTTTTAAAATATTGTTGTTGATGGAAAGTGAATTGCAAATAATAGCATGGTCCAGTGAGTCGATATACTAGTCCTGTATGGTTTTCTGCGTGCTAATTATCTGTATAACTTATGATCTGGACGTTGCTTTATGGTTTCGTATCATAATTACTGTTTTGTTTTGTTTTGTTTCTGGGTGAATTTAGCTTCGCCTAATAATATCCAGAAGTTGGCACCTACCTTTTTTGGTTATACTGCTTCATCAATCATCGTTATAGGCCCTAGCTATTATATTGATAGTGTACTGGCATTAGGACAGTTTTGTGGCTCTTAGCCACTTATGAATTATTGAATTATAAAGTTCCAAAGTAAATTATCGAGGTTACAGCCTGAATGCGATTGATGATTAATTATAGTTTTCTTTTAGTTTCCAATTCTCATAGATATGACGGTAATTGTTAATTGGTATAAACTTATAACTTAATGGTTAAGTTGTATAAGGAAAATATCAGGCTTGAGTGGAGAATAGAGATATTTCCTAAGTTTTCTCATTTGAATATTCCTCATGCCTGTGCCCTCCTCCCGCTTCGCAACTACACATTTTTCTGTTGTAGCCGTCCATTGCAGCTCTTTTTGCCTTTTTCTTACCCTCCTCCTCCTATCTTGTTTTGCACAACTGTTAGTATTACATCTATTCTACATATGCTAGGGCATGATAATATTGTAAATGTTAGATCATAAAAAAATAAACTATAACTATTTCTTCAGGTGTTGATTAATTTCCTTTCTTTTTTCTTCTTACTTGCGACGAAGGTTATATTTCGGCTAAGAAGATTGATGAAAATATGCGGAAGAAAATGTAAACATGTTGTTCATTAACTTACCATAGTTATGGATGGACTGCTAACACTAAACAAGATGAGATCTCATGATGTATGCTATTTTGATGATATTGTGCTAATTGAAAAAATCAGTGAGGGTGCAAGTTTAGTCAGCATAAAAAAAGGGGGTAACTATGACTTTTTTTCACCAAAGTCATTGTATTGGGAAAAAATGGAGTTTACATATTTAAGTGATTGGAAGATGACGTGTTATGACACGTAGACTGGTCAAAGAGTTATGATTGGCAAAAAGACACGAGTTGTAACAGATACGAGCAGAGGCATAAGAGGAAGCACAAGCAGATACTCAAAAGATTCAACGCCCGTACCGATTTAAGTCCAAGAATCAAAGGAAATGAATCTGAGAGTTCACGGGAGTACAGATACAGTATTTAATGAGCCTTAAATACTAAAAACGTTAGAGAATCTGTATTAAATACAATGATTATGTAACGTAGCATTTAATGTCTTTAATTGTCTATAATGACCTTATTATGACAAAGGCAAAATGCATATCTCCAAAATAGCTATAAAAGGGAGAGAATGAGTCAATTGTAAGGACACGAAATATTATTTGAATATACCGATTTACTTGTTTTTCTTCTCTTTATCTTATTGTTAGGCAAATTAGTTTCTTTCATATATACTTTTGATTATCAGTAACCCGAGTTCTTCTAAATTAAAGCTTTAACCGAAATCTCATTTTTTGGTTAAACAAATTGGTTCCGTTACCGGGAATCAGATAATCTATCCTTTTTTAGCTTAACTTTCCTTGTTGCATCAACCATGTCGAACAACAATGACAACATTCAAGGAAACTAAGGAAACCAACAACTTCAGGGAAATCCACAGGGTAATCAAACCCCGCTCCCTTCTCCACGAGGCTCTCCTCGGCGGTCTCGTGAAGGCTCTCCTGACGGATCTCATACAAATGGAAACGCTCAATTTGAAAATATTGAAGCTATCAATGAAGCTTTGCAGAAACTAATTGCTGCACATGTCAATAAAGTTCTTGAGGCTTTTGCTAGCCAGTTACCTGCTGCACCACCCACACCCACTCCAAATAACAACACTTTGGAGAACCCTCGTTCCGGACTTGTTAATTCAGGTAGTGGTGGAACCCCCAACGAATCACAGGAGGGAGAACCAGGTAACTTAGTCAATTTTGATTTTCAAAGTTTAGTACTAACATTGTAGAAACAGCTCAAGGAGAAAAGTGACCGCATAGAGCAAATACCCGGGTGCCGCCCGTAATCAAAGAGATAGATACAGATAAATATTCGCAACAATCCTGGAAGCCAAGTGCTGCTCCCCTCCCAATTCCAAAGAAATTGAAAATGCCTGATATTTCAAAATACGATGGAACAACAGACCCACGAGACCACGTGACTACATTCACAACAGGCATAAAAGGCAACAACTTGACCAAGCAGGAGATTGAATCAGTATTAGTCAAAAAATTCGGTGAAACACTCACCAAGGGTGCATTAACATGGTATTCTCTTTTACCTGAAAATTCTATAAATTCTTTTGCTGAGCTTGCAGATACTTTTATCAAAGCACACTCGGGAGCTCAAAAAGTCGAAAAAAGAATGGAAGACATTTTCAAGATCAAGCAAGGGGACTTAGAATTGGTTAGAGAGTTCGTGGACAGATTCCAACGTGAAAGAATGATATTACCATGTGTATCTGATAATTGGGCAGCTATAACTTTCACAAGTAATTTGAATGAAAAGAGCTCAGAAGCTACGAGACGACTCAAGAAAAGTCTTTGTGAATTCCTAGCTACAACATGGAGTGACGTTTACAACAGGTATAGCACGAAGCTAAGGATAGAAGAAGATACTGTTCCACGATTCCAAAAAGAAGAAAAGTAAGTTCGAAATGGGCGAAAATCGAAAAAAGGTCGAGTAAAAACAGGTATGAGCCATACATGGGACCTGCGGGAAAAGATTCACGGTCAAAACAGGACAATCAAAGGTATGATCACAGATCAAGGAATAGAGAGTCAGGCTCTTCATCAAAATTTAGGAATGATCGAAACACCCATGAGTCACAAGATGATGATAGAAATTTCAATTTCAATGTAAGCACTTCCAAGCTCGTAGCTGTTTTGAGAAGCATGGGTGACAAGGTACGGTGGCCAAAAGAGATGAGATCGAATCCAAACATGTGCAACCCTAATCATTGGTGTGAGTTTCATAATGATCACGGGCATAAAACAGCAGACTGCAGATTTTTACAAAGTGAAGTTGATTATTTATTAAAACAAGGGTATCTCACCGAGTTATTCAGTGAGAAAGGTAAGCAAGCTTACATGAAGAATAGGCAGGAACCCCCTAAACCACCTTCTCCCAAAAGGACCGTCAACGTTATAAGCGGGGGTGAAGACATCAATGGCATAACGTACACTGCAGCTAATAAAATTTCCAAAGTCACAATTACCCAAGGGAAACGGGTGCGACATGTATTAGAGGAAGACATCATTATATTTGATGATGCTGATGCAGATAGCGTATTATCTACTCATAACGATGCCCTGGTAATATCTTTAATTGTACATGATACTAATGTGAAACGAGTTTTGATTGATCCAGGTAGTTCCGTGAACATTAATTTGCTAAGAGTATTACGTGAGATGCAAGCTGAGGATAAATTAATACCAAAGGCGCATACTTTATCTGGATTTGACAATTCTAATGTTGTGACTAAGGGAGAGGTAACACTCACCATATTCGCAGAAGGAGTTGTCAAAGATACAAAGTTTCAAGTAGTAGATATAGAGATGGCTTACAATATGATCCTTGGGAGACCATGGATCCATGAAATGGATGTCATTCC